CAAGGCCCCATCCACCCACTTCGGCCGGTCAGCCCTTTATGTCACCCCACCGATCTGCGAGCTTTAGCCCAAGCTCTTTCCGATCGGGTGCGGACCCTTGACGGGGGAGCTCTAGGCGGGCCCAAGATGCTCGGGACCAAGCTCAACGCCGCCGGAGGCGGCGGCTCAGCAGGCCTATCAATCCCTATCCACGTCTTCGCACGCCACCCAGCTCCAAACTTTCCGAGCCCAGGTCCATGACCAGGCGATGGAGATCCAAGGGGTGGGAGCCCCGTGCGGCTTCTCGATCGCAGAGATCTGCCGACTCTTGTTGGCGGATCACGCAGTCGAGATTCGTGCCCTGACCTGGACGGCTGGATCGCGCCCTCCCGTCAACGGGATGGCATGCGGAGACAACAACGACCATCTTCTTGGGGAGATAGCGCTCACCGGATCCGAGATCCACCAGCTCCAATCTCGAATCCACGACCTCGAGGCGGGATCTGGAAGATTCCCAAACCGCTAGCGCGGCCGCGGACGAGAGCTTGGATCGGCTCCGCGACGAGTTGCGCCAGACTCAAGAAGAGGTGGCGACCAACGACTATGTGGGATCCACCCATGGCGGATCCGCATTAGGGTCGGCGCGTGGAGCCCCCCCCCCCGCGCCGAATCCACCTCCCTCGTCGCCGGATGTGGTTCTGGCTCGTCTTTCCGAGGAATCGAAAGATACCAAAGAGTCGCTCGAGAAAGCATCGGCTGGGCGAGATTACGCGCTTGAGGAATTCGTACGCAGGACTCAAGTCTGCGACGAGATCCAGGCCAGCTGGCGAATACCGAGCTTCAGCGTGACAAGGCGGCTACCGAGTGGGCAGATGCCAAGACAACGCAAACGGAGCTAGAATTCAAGCTCTGTCGCATGAGTACGTGGATCCTCTTTTGTCTCCCTCCGGTAACCCCATATTCACTTGTTATGTCGATCCAGGTGACAAATTGAAGGATGCCGAGGCAACCGCAACAAAACTACGGGATCCGCTCGCTGCTGCTCATGCTCAGCACCAGCAGCTGGTTCTAGAGCGCGATCGCGGTTTATCGGAGCGGGATTTGGCGCACCGACGACTGACTTTGGTGGCCGCTGCTATCTCAGATCCCCTTTCTCCTCGCCCTGGATCTTCAAATCCACTCTCTCCCCTGGCTGGATCATCTCCTGCCGCTAGCGTCTCAGTTGCTCCGCAGTCTCCAAGCGGGGCGGGTCCATCGGCCACAAAACGGCCGCGTAGCGCATCCCCTGCTCCTGGTACTGGATCCCCCGGTCTCACAAGCTTGCCCGAGCTTCTTCCAAGGCCAAACCCAAAACCGGTTCTGCTTCCAAAGCAGTCTCCGAAGCGGGATCCACGTCCACGTCCAA